GAATGGCATGAAATGAAAATTGATATATAATTGATATTATTTTTGATGTATTATATTACATAATGTTAGGTAATTTTGTTTGTTGATAATTTTAGAAATAACTAATGCGATATTATATATAAATATTACTTTGTTTTATTTTTTCATTTATATTTATTATAATTATAGTAAAAGAATATTATTTATAGAGAACAAAAAAGAAATATATATATATATATATTTTGTAAAATTTCTTTGTTTTGTTGGATTACATAACGAACGGCATGAAAAAAAAAAATTGTTATTATTTAATGATATTATATAATGATATTATTAATGATATTATATAATGTCAGATAATTTCTTTACGCGATAATTTTTGAAAATAACGATTATGATATTTTATATAAATAATATAATTATTTTTTTTTCTTATTTTTTTTTTTTTTCATATATTATACTTTACACTACAGATACGTTATATAATTATTAAATGACTTTAGATCATTTTTCAAATAAAATTTATTTATCTTACTTTTTTTTTTTTTTATAAAATAAATCAAGAAAATAAAAATAACAGATAAAAAGTACGAATAATAGAATCGTATTTTATTTATTTATTTATTTATTTATTTATTTATTTATTTATTTATTATTATTATTTTTTTTTTTCGTAATACCTTTTAATAATTATTATTAGTATTAGTATTTCTTTTGTTTGTTTTCTTTTCTTTTTTTTTTTTTTTTTTTTTAAGACATCGATACGATATACTATATAAATATAAATATATCGTATCGTGAGATAAGGTGCATAAGCAGAGAGAGTAAAGATACATTAAAGTTGATGTCGTGAGATGATTTTAAGTAGACGTTAAAAGGCGATCGAATAAACATCGTTTCACGAGGTTATCGTTCGTTTCGATAATAATTTTATAGATTTTTGTTTTTTTTTCTTTTTTTTCTTTTCTTTTCTTTCTACTTTTTTTTTTTCTTTTTTTTTTTTTTTTTTTTTTTTTTTTTTACTGAGAATCCTTTCCTTTCTTCGCGATACCATCGTTGGCCCTTAGCTCTCTAATATTAAGGTGCGAAGGTTCTGAATATACGAGGATACCTTTCCAATCTTTTTGAATTTCAATTTATTTAAGTTAAATATTTCTCTTTGTTATCTAATTTATTATAAAATAGTCCTATTTAAAATTTATATATATATATGTATATATATATATATATATATATATATATATATATATATATATATATATATATATATATAATTTAATAAATATGTTATATGAATATGTGAGCATTTCCAAAAAAAAAAAGGGTCAGTGTTTATAAGAAGAATATAAATGTTTTAGAGAAAAAATATTAATACATATAGAGTTTCATTTACATTATATATATAATTTAATAAATTTTCAATTTAATAAATATAAACAAATAATATATTATTAATATATTTTTTATATTCTATATATTATATATTATATATTATATATATATTTTATATTCTATATATTATACATTGTCATATATATATTATATATTTATATTATTATTATTTATTATTATTTTTATTATTATTTTTATATATTTTATAATATATACATATTTATATAATATATATAATAAATTATATTAATATTGAAATTAAATAAATAATTAATATTAAATGAGATATTAAATATTGTAGATATTTTTAGTTTTTAATATTAGTATGCATTCACACACACACACACACATACATTATTTAATAAAATAGTACAATATTTAAAAAAGGAACATTGCAAAAAAATGATTGATTTATATATAATATATGAGTCTCTCTTAAAATTTATATGATAGTATCAAATTAAAATGACGTTTATATAAGAAAACGAGGAGAACAAATTTTTTATAAAAAATATTTTGATCAATTTATAATACATATATATATATATATACTCACATATATAAGCACATAATACAAAAATCCACATAAACCCATAAAACTTTCACGCATGAGAGAGTCCGATTAATATACGTACATTTTATAATGAATACCATAGTTAAAGGAAAAAAATTAAGAAGAACCAATATATTGACGTCTCATTGGATCGATTTACAGGTGCGTACATTGTTGGAGAATCCAACGAGGTATCACGTCGTACAAAAACAGAAGAATCAAGTAAGACAATACCTTCAAGAATCTTTTCGTGGTGTGGATTGTGGTAATGGAGTAAATGCCGTACTTGGTAGTACTGGTAACGATAGCAGTGCTGGAGGAACACCAGTTGATATTGGAAGAGTAGCATCATCAACGGCACCATCACTTCCACCGGCACCGGTTTTACCAATGGTCGTGCACAGTGCACCACCAGGACCGGCGGTTCATCATCAGAAACCGCAGCATCCTCATCTAGCTTCGTATCCACGTGCACCGGGACTTTTGTCTCATGGTAATCCGGTCTCTGCTAGTCCCGATCCCACTACAGGTGCAATGTCCCCAGGACTATCTAGCGTAGCTACCAGTAATTCTGAGGTAAGAATATTTTATATGTTATGTTATATGGATATTAAAGAGTTATTATATAAATACTTTTGATATTTATTAACATTAAAAATAACAAAAAAAGAAAAAAAAAAGAACATTTATTTATTAACAGTAAAAATACATTTGATATTTATTAATCAAATATATGAATATATTTGATATTTAACAGATAACAAATATATATACATATATATATATATATATATGTATATTTATATATATATATATATATATATATATATTTATATATATATGTATTGTTTCTCTGTAAATATACTTTTTTAAAAAATTTTTCCATTAAAAATTCAAATGATTTTACTTTAAATCAAGTTCTATCATTCGTTCATCAAACTCAATATTTCGACATTATCGATGGCTTTATTTTTTCTTTATTTCTTTTTTTTCTTTTCTTTTTTTGGGAGGGATTTTTCGATTAATTTCTTGTCATAAGGCATAAGTGAAAAGATTCCTCGATAAATCGTAGATCATCGTGTTAGTTTTGTTGTTACACGTGTGTCAAGCCGTGTGAAATTTTTTTTTCTTTTTTTATCTTTTCTAGGTTTTCTTTTTTCTTTTTTTTTTTGCATAATTTAATAACATTATTCCTTTGCACGCCAATATCAGAATTTGAATTTCAGTATTTTTCGAACTGACAAATTGAATAGCAATAGACTGTTAGACTTTAACGATGTATTGTGATATTGTAGATGCGATCATATTTAAAAAAAAAAAATAAAAAAAAAAGAAAAAAAAAAGAGGAAAGAAAAAAAAGGTAACCAATTGAATTTGATTTTGATTCATTGCAATATCGAATACAATCAGACGGCCAACCGGTGAAAATATTTGCAAGGTGATATAAAAAATCAAACGCATCGCTGAGTATAGCGATTGAAAAAAAATTCTTGGATGATTTTCTTTTCGTATATTTATGTAGTGTATATAATTTAATTATTATATATATATATATATATATATATATATATATAAAATTTTAAATTATGACAAATACTTAATTGCTATTAAATAAATACTTTTACTCGTTATATCTTCATCATTATAAAATTTCGAATTTCTTTCACGAAATATTTTTGTGTTAGATTATATTTTTTATTATTGAAGAAAAGAAAAAAAAAAAAATTTGATTTGCGAAGGATTGATTTCGTAGATAACAGAAACCAAGACGTGCCCTTTCAAATTAACGTTGTCGCAATGTCGATAAATCGACAATTAAGATCGAAAGGTATAAATAGATATTAATTATCGTAGTTCAAGTTACATCTTGCAAAAAGAACAAATAACTATGATTTGTTTTGTTGGACCATTTTGATATAGAAAAAAGATCGTGTTACTTCATCGCGATAGTTATTTCTGTTTTTTTTTCTTTTTTTTTCTTTTTTTTTTTTTTCGTGGCTTAAAGCGTTACTTGCGTTCATTGATTTTTATTGGACTTTAACAGGAAGATTACTATTTTACCGACGGAGTAAATTTTTCTTTAACTAATGTATAGTGTTTTTCCTTTTTATATATATCTATATCTATAATTATTATATATATATATATATATTGAATATGTATTATGTTTATATATATATATTTTTATTTCATTAAATAGAATTATATGGGAAATGTTATGAACGAAATAATCTAGGGAATTTTTATTTATTAGGTTGGAAACTATGAAACGAGCGTTGAATGAAAATAAAAAAAACTAAACATAAAAGCTCGTTTCATAGTATCCAACCTAATAGCATTATAAATGTTAGGTACATTTATGTACGTATTAGATCATTTTAATAATTATCTAAGTTTATTTATTAATTAGGATCGTTCATTAATGTTTTTTTTTTCCAAATTTGTTGATATCCAAACGATTTCTAATTTCTTTTAATTGATGTATCGATTACACCATATAGGAAATTTCAATGGAATGGCATTTAACTCCGTGGTATTAATCATTTCTCGTGGATAAGTTATTTCGCTGGACTAGAAATTTTCGACAATATACTGGAATACTCATTATCGATCTTATGTAATAGATTGCAACACTAACGCGAGTTAGTGTTTCGTAATTTGAAATATTACGATAGTATAGTGAATCATTTATTATTTGATTTATTTAAAGTCTTTAGATCATTTGTGGTTGTTATTTGAAAAAAGCTTTCTGGTTTTCTTATGAAATCCAATTATATAGAATTATTTAAGAGAAATGATTAATCGTTCTTTCGTTTTTTTTTTTTCTTTTTTATATATATATATATGTATATATATTTATTTATGTTTGTTTAATAACCTTTGAGATTTTTTTTTTATATGTATATATATAAGAGGAAAAAGAAATTGAATCATATTCGAAGTTTTTGAATTTGGAAGAACAAGAAGAAGAAGAAGAAAAAAAGATTTCTCTTTGTAGAAATTATTTCTCGAAATTTTTCTTTTTTTTTTTTTTTTTTTTTTTTTTTTTTAATATATATACCTTTTAACCTTTTAAGTGTGAGACAAAGTAAACAAAAATTTTATTTTCGATTTAAAGAGTAAACGGGGGAAGAAGAAAAAAAAGAAAGAAAGAAAAAAAAAGAAACGAATACAACGAACTAATATTGAACAGGTTGATTTGAAAAACGTGCTTCTTTCGTTATACTTTCTAAGTAAACAATATGTTTTTTATTTATTTTTTTTTTTTTTTTTCTATCGTATATTTAAGTGCCTGAGTTTGAGTGAGAACAACGATGGTACAAGTTTTTTTTCTTTTTTTCGAGGTTTACTATGAGTTTTGAAATTTAAAAGATCATCTGTGGAATGATGTAACGCAAACACGCAAACACATCCACATCCACATCCAGACACACAGACACACCTTATATACATATCTATACGTATATATGTATATACGTACGTACATATATAGATATGTAAATATCATTTTGTAAATATCATATTATTTAGATACATATGTAAATATATGTATGTATATATATTATACGCATAGATACATACATACATATATATATTGTACATTATATATATATATATATATGTACATTATATGTATTGTACATACATATATATAGTCTATAATAGATTATATGTATTATACATTATATGTATGTGTGTATATGTATGTGTGTATATGTATGTATATATGTATGTATATATATATGTATGTGTATATATATATATATATATATATATGTGTATGTAGTGAGTCTCTATTGAAGAACAGGAATCAGTTTTTGTCTCTGTCAGTCAATCAGTCAGTCAGTCAGTCAGACAGTCTGTCTGTCAATCAGTTTTGTCTGTCTTGATCCAAGCGATTTATAGTGTTGTAACATGGCGTTGTTTGTTCGTATGTATTAATCGATAAATGAGAGAAGGACAGCTCGTATCTTCTTCCTTCGTCGAAAAACCCTTGGAATATATATGTATATATATATACGTTACGCAATCTCCGTAATCTGGGACGTATCCGTTATCGCGTGTATCTTTTGAGAACGCGTTTTATATATTGCATCCTCATGTTAGTTTACAAAAGCAAACTGTGTCGACTGGATATTTACACATTCGCCCTTATTAACCCATCTTATATCAATTACATGTACCATGAGGGGGAAAAACAAAAAGAATAAAATAAAATAAAATAAAATAAAATAAAATAAAATAAAATAAAATAAAAGCTAATATGGCTAGTAACTTGCTATTAAATTTATTAATAAATAATTTATATATATATATATAAATATATACATATATAAAATAAAATAGATATGTAAATGATAATATTTATATCGTACACAATAAATTTTAAGAAATGGATTAAAGAGTATTTGTGTGTGTGTGCGTATGCATTTATTTTTTGTCTTTATAAATATAAATATTTATATTGTATACATAAAATATACATACATATTTATTTTTTATAATCTATAAACACACACACATACACACACACACACACATATATATATATATATATTGTTATATTAATACTAATATATAGTATTTTCTTTTTTATAATATTTATTACTCTATATGTACTAATACTATTTAATAGTATATTATTATCATTATAACAAATTGTATATATTCTAGAAAGTATTAGTATTGATATAATAAGCTTTAATATAATAAAATTATTATTATTAACTGTAATAATTATTATTATTATAATAGTACTATATATATAGTATTATATGATGCTATTAATATTATGATGTAATACTAATATTGTATTAGATTGATGATTAGACTATATATATATATATATATATATATATATATATATATATATATATACATATATAAATATATATATTTATTTTTTTTTGTTATTATTGTATATAACGTAATACACATCAAGTATAATATTTATCCATTTTTTAACAATTTATTTTTCTGCATAAATATTTTATTTAAAAAAATGATAATAATAATAATAAAAAACAAAGTAATAGAAATAAAACGTAATGATCATTATGTGAGCCCGAAAAATTAATTCATTATAATTATTATAATTATCATTAATTGAATATTTATATATATATATATATATATATATGTAAAAAAAAAAAAAGATAGGAAAGATCTAATTTCAAATATGAAATGTATGGGGAGGGGTGGGGAAAGACATGAATTAACCAGACAAATTTTCATTAAGTTTTTGTTTGAATTCTTGTTCCCATCGTTTTAGTAATTTATTACATATGTATGTATGTATGTATGTATGTATGTATGTATGTATGTATGTATGTATGTATGTATGTATGTATGTATGTATGTATGTATGTATGTATGTATGTATGTATGTATGTATGTATGTCTGTCTGTCTGTCTGTCTGACTCTATGTGTATGTGTGTGTGCATCTAAAGAGAGAGAGAGGGAGGGGGGAAGGGAGAGATGGAGGGGGAGGGGGGAAGGGAGAGAAAGAGAGAAAGAGAGAAAGAGAAAGCTTTTCCCGTGGGAAAGCGAAGTTTTTTATTAAGTCGTACGTACC